GAACAGATCTAATGCGCATATACAAACATTATCTAATTTTCAGTGATGTTGTTAGATGAGGGCGCAGTAGGTAATGTTATTCTTAATTATTAACCGTTGAATATGGCGCTAATAATATAGTAATTCGCAATACTAATAAAACAATGCCACGTTTAGAACCAATTACGGGCCCCGGGCAAATGCCTTGCCTGCCTTGTGCCAAATTAGGCCCTGCTGTCTGTCTTCATTCACGCCAATATCGGTTGCATACGGATGGAACTTTTTCAATCCCTGCTACTGCATCATAAACATCGACAGTTACTTACGTAAAATGTTAATGAAATTTTACGTTTTCTTCTTCGAATGTTTATTCTGGGAACATTTGTTCTTCACTTTTTCTATGCTAATTCCTCACGTGTCTGATAAAATACCTTGCATTTCTTGGTATTCGACTGCCGAAAACGATATGTTTGTAAAAGCATCGATTCCTTTTTCTTCCCTGATATTTGCTTGATATTCAGCGTGGTCAAAAGATTCAAACTAAATCCAACAATCAAATTCAGAAAACATCTTTGCTTCTGCCAAGATCGACTACTCGCTATTATCGATCACACACGTAATAACACAGTGATAAACACCGTAAATATCACTGTCTTGTTTCAATGCATCAACGTTTTCGTCGTCTTTCCCGTTTTGGAAAAAGAAAAATTGTATAAATACGAAGGTCTTTTCTGCTGCGTTGAATTTGGAATCTACACCATTTCGCTTGTTGGTAACATCATGTTTCTGTTTTCCTTTCTCTTCTTGCTTATTCTTACTTTCACAAGTATTTTCAAGAAAATATCCGAAGATTTGTATCGATTGAAGAAGAATAATCCGAATTTAAATTCTGAATTAAAAGAAAAAATGGAACAACACGATGAAGTTTGGAATTGTTTCAATCAACTAAACGGCCCGTTTAATTACGTATTATCAATCTTCTATGCCACTTTGTTATTGCAGACCGGCGTACTTTACTTTAATTCCATCTTTGCGAACATGCCTTTTGAGTTGAAAGTGGGTACTTGAGTACTCTCTGTTGTAATCGCCTTGATGAGTGTATTAATAGCATTTCAGCTCTCTGCATTCACATCCAGTGTAATGTACACTACGAAAAGTATTAATGTTTATTTCATTTCTGAGGATTCAAAAATAATATATTGACTTTCTTCTTTCAGATGCAAACGTCTTTTCAAGACATCAGAAGATTCGCTGACTGCAACTTGACTTTAGAACAGAAATTAAAGGTGAAATATTTTAATTTAACACTCTGTAATTTATCTTGAATTATCAGACGATAATAGAAGTAATTTGTTGCGGAAATTTTGAATTTCATGAAGAGATTTGGTAAAAAATCCCTTTGCTTGTCAATGAACGATTTCTTTAATGTCACTAAAAAGTTTCCGATAAAAGTAAGTTATTTAATTGAATTTTTGCAATATTGTAATTGGTATGAATTAAATGCGCATTAATAATTTTTCAAATATTTTAGATGGCGAGTTCTTTGTATTCCGTGTTTTCTGGTCTTTCGGATCTAAAGGATGCAACAAAAAATCGATATTGATTATAAATTTCAGTGTAAATTTAAGTATTTACATACATTCGGAAGCATTTATTAGGTACACTCTCTCTTTCGTTAATCGACATGAAAGTAAGATTACATTTGTTTTATGTATTTCGCACTTTTCTTCTTGTCACGTGTCAGCTGTTCTGAGAATTCACTCGCGTAGATAGATTAGTTTACACTACTGTGGATTGGTAGATAAAGATAGGATCGTTATATAATTCTGTGAATGATTAAACTGAGCCACGTTTTTTAAAAAGTAGGATGGGATCGAAGGCGAAAGGCGTGAGAAAAATTTTACAATGGGAGTGCCTTAAAAAGATTCTCTCGTAGAAATGCGAATCCGCGGCAAACTATAGTGTTCAGAGATTTTTATTCACTGGTGGCAACAGCAAACAATACAAGTTGTATAATTTATGGTTATTAATATTATTTCTTAATTTAATGCATAATTACAAGTCATCGATGGAGACATTTATTAGTAAGAAAGTTTATGACGTAAAATTCTAGTACTTCACGCGTATTTTTCCTAAATTAATTGCATTAATATATGCACAAAATAAAAAAATATTCACTTCGTTCATTACCGGTATGATTACAGAAATGGAGAAGAGTTGAGGCACTTTCGTATCGTCCCTCTTACCTGTCAATACACATAAAGATTATATTCTGTATATATAGTTTATAGTATATATAATGCAAATATTTTTATCAGGATTAATTAATAAATTTCTGTAGCAATTCAAGCCTTAATGAATAAATGTATTTACAACCAATGAGTAATAAATGTTTCGTTTTATTATAGTTTCATTCTTGGCACGGTTAAGCCAAGTTAAAAATAATATGATGACAAAACAGTTTTATTCTTTCAAAAAAAGTGTATATTCGTAATTTCTTAATATTTCTAACGTTTGAAAGTTTAATATTATTTAATTATACGCAGTTTTTGAATAAAATTCTGTTTTATAAATACTCGAAACCGATATTTATCCGGTTTAGGTGAAAAAACACAAACCAATTGTACGAGAAGAAAGTAAATACTAAACGATGGCTGTAGGATTGATCATGTATGTTCTAAGCGTTGATTGAAGGTGAAATTTCTCTTTCTATACTGTTTAGTGAACCAATGAAATTGTCCGAAACTTTTGCAATGTTTCTGTCACTAGGCGAAATAAGGCGTCTCCGAGCCAATGTCTAAGTGATTCATCTGACTTTAGTATCTTTTTCGAAGCAACTATTGTACTTTTTCCTCTGAATCGGAAAAAGTGTAAAGACGAAAAGAACTGATAATTCTTTAAAATGTTAACAATAATCAGAAAGAAGAATGCACCACAATAATTGCATAATTTTATTATTCTTAGGGACAAAACTGTGAAAACCTGAAGTTCGTATTGGGATATTTTAGAATTTTGAATCAATTTATTTGATTAATGTTTTTAAATTAATTTTAAAAAATTCAGCAACCAGTTGCGTAACGATCAGTAAAATGAGGAAAAGTAAAAAATTACAATTTTTTCATCAATAAACTTCATCAATTTCAGAATTTTCGACAAAAAGTACAGGAGTAATTAAACTACGAAGAGAATAAACAAAATCGTGCGGTGCTTTTCCACAAAAACATTTATAACAGTATGGATGTTTGTGTACATCCATACTGTTATGGATACATACATACAAGGAAAATAAATTGAATTGCATTACTCGACGTTTCAATGTTCACGGGGTCTGTAGAAAATGTTAAAAAATTTTAGGGTTATCTTTTGACCGATTGCCATACTTTCCCCCAATGACAGAACAGAGAAAGTAACTATTACAAACACTCACTCAGAAGAAGATAAATTACATAATAAAATCTGTGCAATTTTAGCAATTTCTTAAAATTATTGCAGTAATGAAAAATTTTACTTTCCATTAGCGACATCATTTGTATAGCACAAACAATAAACTAATAAATTTACACGATATTTTTAAAAATATGCATACAAAATGAACCTCGTTAAAGCATAAATGTTAATTAATAAATAACTTACGAGAAACGAGTTTAATAAAAGCAAAAGAAGTGAATCGTTTTTTTAATTCCTATATTATTTTATTTTCATCTTCATTTCAATTCATAATTTCTCGAATATTTTCACCGTTTTTCTTTTATATAATTTCATTCTTTTACTAGTGTATTCTACTTTATTATATAATTACATTGTGAAGTGCATTTATATGAGAATACAACTTTGCTATTTCCGTGTTTTACACTAATTAAACAACAGTAATGAATTATGTAGCAATCAGTGCAATTATCTATTAGCTCTAATGGATGCAAATTTCTTAAATTTTCAACGGATTTCTCCATCTTACATAAGAAGATATTTATAAGAATAAAAATTACGAACATTTTACCAAATCAATTTCACTAAGAACAATCACGTAACTTGGAAGAATGTTGAAGAAATTTTCTAAAGCTGGCGACTAATTCGTAGACGAAAACGTTTTAGATAAACTCTAACCACAACAGCAAGTAGATTATATGTACAATATCTTAAACTTAATAATTTACTATATGTAATTAATGGTATTTCAATTTAATTTAATTTAATTTCGGCATTAAAATTAAACCGCTTGAAGTATGCTGTATATAAACCAAAGTATATTACACTATAATATAATATAGAATACTCTCAAATTTACACAAATCAGCGTATTTAGATAAATTACTCGTATTAAGAAAGAGTAATAGATTATTATGCAGTTTATAAATATGCAAAGCACAAGAAATCGCGTTTGTATCAAAGACTCTTTGAAATATCTCCTGAAACTTATTGACAAATCCGATCGACTATTAATAATTACATGCGACCACGAAGACACAAACAACAATCGAAATAATAGAAAAACTCTTTCGTGGAAATTATTGTTTTTAAGTATCTACATTTGTATATTTTACACAATTTACTTGGCTATTGTTATATTGCCTAAAGCACAAACGCTTCCTTATTGTTCGGGCCTCATATACAAGTCTACAAACCATCCGATCATGTTTAAAATTTTCACGGTTACCATACATACTTTTACTTTTTCAATCACACTTTATCTAACATATTTGAGAATGACTAACACCCAAGTTCATTGGCACGATGAAAATATAAGACCAGAAACAGCGTACAAAATATCACAATTTCAAAGCTATTCTGCGAAGGTTTGTGCTAGCTTTTGCGTATTATTAAATACATTTGTACCAATATTCCTATTTACAAAACGTTATCCGATTATGAAAGAAGATAGTGGGTCGTTACTTGCGGGTATATGTACAGGGTTCGTTTCGTTAAGCGTAACATGTCTTTCAGCTGCTTCAGCTATTATTCTGATTGGAACAACATTCCTTATGATAATATATTATAAATTGGAGGCATTATTTGAGGAAATACATTTCATTCATTCGCGACAGCTGCGATATATTCGTATCGTAAAAAACATACAAACAGAATACTCTAAAATTGCGCTCGAAATGGAAACAATAAATGACATTGGAAGCATATTTACGTCTATCTCTTATGTATTCTTCATTACCTACGTTGCTACTTTTGTTGTGATTATAATGCACACGTCTTTGGAAGGAAAATTTGTGTATTATCCTCCATTAATCATATTACTTGTCTCTTTGATCACATTCTTTGCAACTGCTTCGATCATATGTACATCGGTGAGTAGTATCTAAGTTTTTTACGTATTAAAAAATTAAAATATTAAAGTTTTACTTTATAAAGTACTATTTAACATTTTAGCTATATGTTTTTGAGGTTTGATACGATATAAGGAAGTTAGTTATAAGATTCTATTTTACTATTATTAGTCTAGGAACTGTCTGGAAGAGACTAGATACTTTGACTCTATGAATTTGCCATTCATCGATAAAATGCGTGTAAGTAAGAATTCAACAGAACATTTTATTCTATTTGACAGTAGTATTAAGTGTTGATCACACCTGATACACGACAACAATATTATTATATTTACAGCTTTTGTGCTTTCTAAAGAGATTGGGATCCAGACAACTGGGAGTAGAAGTTCTGGATTTCATAATTACTAAGGAATGTGCATTCAGGGTAAAATATTTTTTGTTATGTTTATACGTAACTTTTATATAAATAAAAAATGTTAAATCTATTTGAACTGTACATTTCAGATAATGAGATCAACTTTTACTTTTTTCGGTACTCTTAAGACGATAAATGGTTTCGAACAGACCAAAGTCTGTCTTTCGGCCAATGGCACTGATAAGCTGAATTTAATGATACAAAATTTGACTTAAATTGCAATATTTAGTGACAGTAAACAGGACGAATTTAAGGAATCCGAAGAAAATTATAACTAGTTAAAAAATTCTCAACAACTTGTAACACATTCCGTAAGTTTTCGGATCGTTTATTCTTTCATTTAAAGCAGGGGTGTCCAACCTTTCTGTTTCTCTGGTCCACATTGGATGAAATCATGGAGTTTTGGGCCACAAGTATATTTTGACCCGATCTTTTAATATACAAGTATATTTAAGTATTAACATGCCTAGTTTATATTAGTAAGTATTAAAAGTTTACCACAAAAAAGAATATTTTTAAAAATTACTTTTACAGACACTTTCAATTTTTACTTAGAAATAAATGAATTAATTTATTATAAAGGAAACAAACAAAAATTTATTTGAAAAACACAAATATTTGTTTTATTTGGATCTGTAATTAATAAAAAGCGACAAAACACCATTTGAAAGTGCATTTTTATTCAACTAATATATTTATAAATAATATGTAGCCCTAAAAGTAGCCAATGTGCCAACTGATATTTTTTACATCAAACTAATAAAAGGTAGCCAAATTTAACGCAAAGTAGCCGAATCTTGCAACGCTGGAAGGAATTCTATATAAAGCTGGAGTTGAGACTCAAAGAATTACTGTATAGACTCAAATGCTGGGGAAAGGAGAAAGAGGACAAAAGATAAAGATGTGAGGAAGGTTGGAAAATTAAGGGTCCATATTGCATAACAGGAGGTCTATTTAACCTTTCTCATTACTTTTTATTTTTAGGTCTTTTTCTCCTTTCCCCTGAATTTGAGTCTATACTCCTTTGAGAGTCAACTCCAGCTTTATTTCGTATACCTTCCTCATTCACACATTTCTAAGTATTTGAAAATATTTCTTTTCCACTAAAAATTAAAAAAGGTTTACGGCTTTGTAAAACTTCTTTTTTGAGTTGATGCCGTTGAAATAAATAAATAAATAAATAATTTTAAAAATTTTTGGTTTTGTGTACACGTTTATTGGGCCGCATTCGAACTTTCCTTGGGCTGCATGCGGCCCGAGGGTCGCGGGTTGGACACCTTTGATTCAAAGCATTTTTGTGACTTTTCAGTGGAATTGAAGCATGTTCGACTTACTTTCTGTGAGAAAGTGATTTCATATTGTAAGCGCCTCAGGAATTGTTAATATTCTGAAATAATTAGATAAGAAAATAGTATCAGTATGTCATAGTTGTCATATTACTATGATTATTATTAGTTAATTAAGATTACGGACGTTGGACTTGGACTGGGGAAAATGTAACACTGTCGTGTCATCTTTAGAACTTAGAGCAATCACATTCAAGATCGAGACGTGTAAAACTGCAGCATAGCTCGGTTCGTACATCTTTTCGCTTTCTGCACGCACGAACAAAACTTGAATGGAATGAGCGTTGTTCCCTGGCATATATGACACCAGCGATCAATACTCGTGTTCCTAATACAGTGTTTGTTCTGAACGAAAGCGAGCGGGCTATTTGACACAATCTGGTCAAAGGCGACATCGAACGAATCTCGTTCGATCATCGTATAGTCCATTGTCGACTGGCTTCGCTTTACGTCATACCTTTCGTCGGAAGTAGACTGTCCCTTCGAATAACGGATCAAATAAGTTGAATTTTTGAGGCAACGATCGGAGACGTTCATTCCCGGGGAAAATTTATGCCACTTATTTTGAGTTGATGTATGTTTATATATTATATATAAATATCACTAGTGTTCTATATATCAATGTAACGCTTATTAATTAATGCAATCATCATAAAAAATACTGAAAACATTGTACACGAAACTATCGGCAACACAATCGAGATCGCTTATTTTCGTCACTTTGTAAAGAAATTATGAAGCAATAGTTTGTAGAGAGCTTGAAGAAATGCTCTACTTATTTAGAATAACAATCACAAGTGACATCACAAGGGATGACATTGCCGGATTATCGAACAACTCGCACAACATCAAGTCGAAAGTAACCACATCGACTACTTAGCAACGGGTTTTATATTAGGCAGATGTTTGCTAAATACGTAATATTAAAGGTTGAGAATGTGGCCAATACTAATCTATTTTTCACAGTAACAATAAGAATTGTTACTGTGAAAGACCGAAATTAGAAAATGTCGACACATAGAAAATACGTCGGTGAAAGACAGAATATTTGGTGATATCATTATACATTCGAACAATCGCCGGTGTATGTCTACAAGCACAGATCCAGCTTTGCTGGAGATCGAAACAACACCCGAGAAAACGATGTCGACAGAGAGGCGTCAGTCTGTCGCCAAATCCTTTGTGGGTAGTCGGAGATAGGACATGGTCGTTTTTCTGGCAACGGTTTGGTGGAAACCGCCCACTTTGTCATTGGATGGCGTTTTTGTTCTTTTCATCCGGTGAAGTGGAAATCGGCTTTCCAGGTCGAGTGGCGGAGGATCGTCGGTAAGGCGTCGGCGATATCCGAATAAAAGACACCATTAACAGATTGGTTCGTAATCACGTAATAACGTAATAAGTTGGTAATCTGTAAAGGAAAGTTACTTTCCATAGATGAGATTTCTTCTCAAGAAATATCGCCGAGAGAAGCAGCTGTAGCTAATTCGAAAAGTGGGAAGCAAGTCTATACACGTTGTCATTGCAAAAAGAAGTGTTCCACGAATAAATGCAGTTGTAAAAGCAAGAGACTCTTGTGAAATTCAAAGTGCCATAACAGTTTAAGTTGTTGCAATAAATGAGATTGTATAACGTTAATCACATAATTTATGTGTAAGTTTATTATTTTCTTTTCTGATTAAGAATGTACTGTTCTTTTTAGGTTCAACAGTTTATTTACATGTGCTGCAAATATATTATAAATACAAATTTAATGCGACCCTTAGCCGTAAACAGAAAACTGAAAGCTAAAGTTAGCTTGGTAAGAACCAAGTTTTATGCAGTTGCTATCTTAACTACAAATCCACAAACAGCAAGTAATAAAAGAGAAACATCGAAATATATTTAAATAAGACAAAACAAGTTTAATTATAAACTAATTTTTTATTTTCTTAAAGTTTTTACGTTGCGTATTCATGGGAAAGTAGTACTTTCTTTACCTAACACAATAGTCATATTTTCTTTAGAACAGTGAAAACCATAGTATTTTAATCGTATATAGCAGTGGTTCCCAACCTTTTTTCATTAGCGTACCCCGTGACATGTCATATCTCTAGATTGTACCCCCTCATTCAAGAAATTTAGTGAGTACCCGTATTGTTAATTTTACATATTGTAACTTTAAATTAAATAAAAAAAAGTAAATGAAAAAATGTATAATAAAGTTGTGATTGTTGCAAGGAACATATTTTACCTAATAATTTTTTAATACTATTAGTTTGTAATACATAATATATTATTTTTTCTGCCATAATAACTAACTTTTTTCTGTACCCCTAAACAACCTATCGCGTACCCCTGGGGGTACACGTACCACAGGTTGGGAATCGCTG